TGGAGGCCGGGCTGAGGGACCCCCCCCCCCCCCGCATGAATTTCATGCACCGGGCCTCTAGTCTATATAATAAAAGCCTAAGTGATCGTTAAGGCAGAACGACCAGTCGCTATGATGCGTACTGACCACCAGGGGGCAGATGCTTAATGTAGGAGCTGCCCCCTGGTGGTCAGTGTGCTCCCACAGGGGGAGCGCTGCTCAGCCAGAAGCCGGGTTCACAGTTGCTGCTCCGCGGCAGCGCTAAGGAGCAGTGAGCAGGCAGGCGGTAAGGAGCGAGGGGTCCCAGACTGCAAGAGGGATGTCCGCCGAGGTGTCCTGGACTGGGAGAAGGCACAGGCCAGGCTAAGGGACACCCCCCACCACCCCCAGAGCATGAATTTCGTGCACCGGGCCTCTAATTAACTATAGTCATCATGCTGTATAAGCTCTGATCCTCAGAAAACTCATCTTATAACTAAGTTTCTACCCTTTGACTAGTATCTCCCCATATCCCCTACCTCCTAGCAACCACCATTCTACTCTACTCCTATGAGTTCAGTTTTTTAGATTCCATACATACATGAAATAATGCCGTATTTGTCTTTTTGTACCTGGCTTATTTCATTTTGTATAGTCCTCTAGTTTCATCCATGTTGTCAAAATGGTAGAATTTCCTTTTTTAAGGCTGAATAATATTCCAGTGTGTGTGTACATATATACAAGATGTGCCAAAAAATGTATGCACACTTTGAATAATTATTAATTCCAATAGGTTAAATCTGAAAAGAAACATCAATTAAGCTATATTCAAGTGTGTATACATTTTGGGGGGGACACCCTGTATATGTATTATATATATTTATAGTGTGTGTACATATCTCACATTTACTTTATTCATCCATCCATCAATAGACACTTAGGTTGTTTCCGTATCTTGGCTATTGTGAACAGTGCTGCAATAAATATGAAGTTTATTGAAAAGTTCATCTCTTTGAGATACTGATTTCATGTTCTTTGGATATTTATAATAATAAAAGTATAATATGCTAATTAGACCGGACAGCCAAATGACCTTCCGACGTCATTCCGGATGAAGCCACCGTGGCGGGGGCCAAGGCAGAGGCAGTTAGGGGTGATCAGGCAGGCAGGCAAGCAGTTAGGGGCGATCAGGCAGGCAGGTGAGTGGTTAGGGGTGATCAGGCAGGCAGGTGAGCAGTTAGGGGTGAT